ATTAAAAATGCTATTCTCGTACCTAACTAAATTATAAACATGTTGAACCTGGTCTTTCGGGTCAAGTGGTTTTAATCACGCTTGTAAGGTTCATATCCCCCTCTTCAGGGTAACGGTTCGAGCCGGTCCCATGACAAAATGTTAAAAAAAAAAAAAATTATAAACATGTTTATCACAAGTAGTTACATTTTTATTCAATTAGTTAAGCTTTTTTATATTGATTTTTCAAAATAAAATGATACTAATTTTGAACTAAATATTATGAAATAAATATATTTTTAAATCTTAATTATTATATTTATTTTTATTTTATTCAAAAAAATTATTATTATTTGGAGTACAAAGGATCTCCAACACTTACATAAATTCATAATTAATATGACACAATCTAATATATAAGCTATTTCTTAAATGAAAAAGAATTACCATCATAAATTGAGAATTGGTATTAGTCATAGAAGGAACATGATGCACTTTAAAATCAATCTCTTAACCAAATAAAAAATCTTATTTAAAAATAAAAATAATATATTCATCTAAGTTATTTATTTTAAAATATATTAAATAAATATATTTATTATTACAAAATATAGTCACTACATTCATAATGAATATATTTTTCAAGTAATGAATGTATTTTTTTGGCTACTTTATTGGAAAATGGGGCATCATAATTTAGTTTTTTAGATTCTAATATTATATTAGATTTCTTAAAAATGATATTTGTAAGTTAATTTATCTTAAAAAATTATTTAATAAAAATATTTTAAAGAATTTTAAAAAACAAAGGGATTAACTTGTAAATCCACAAGTTAATTTATATGATCTGTATTCTGTAACATATTCAAACTAACTTGAACAAGTCATAAGTTCGATAATAATCAATCTTGATCCACTTTTTACGAGTTGAGTTGTGGTTAAATTAGATTTTGTCACCTACACATCCAAACAAACTGAACATAACCTAAATGAAAAGGAAAGTAGATTTAATTGATTATATACATTTCAATCAACAAACATAAATTGCAAAAATGATTCTAGTTATGAATCTACTGCATGATAAGCGACATCAAAAGTAGTATCTGTCAACAACAACAAAATTGTAAAAAATTATATAGTTCTTCAAACTATGCTTCTACATTAATTAAATCATTTATGAACACAAACCACATTTATACATAAAAATGGTATAAGCAAAAACAAAAAAACGAACTTATATAAACAAAAAGTGTACGTGTCGGCACGGCCATTTAGTTCACCCCCACCTATTTTCCAAAGGCTTAACGCATGGTATCGACACCTACAGGGTGGCTTCGACACCAAACCTGTGTCGGGTCATTGGCTCTCTTTGCAAATTTTCAACGGTAAAACGTAAAATTGCAAATCTGATCCTTCAGCTTCTGTATAATGAGCACTTAGATCCTTTAACTTTTAATTTATTCGTTTAGGTCCCTAAAGGTACCTTCCCTTAGCAATCAGTCCCTCAACTTTCAAATAATGTTCAATTAAGTCCAAAAGCTTCTATTATTATGCATTCAAGACAATAAAAATTATGTAAAATCCATTGAAAATAACATTTTATCCATCTAAATAGCAGCAAATCAAGACTAAAATAAATATTAAAGTATATAAAATGCATATCATCAAAAAGCAAAGCAATCCTAACAATAGCCTTAATTCTTGAAACCCCAAATTTGAACTAAATAGAAAAAAATGATAATAATATCAAGAAAAAGAAATAAAAAATCAAAGAAATAAATCCCAAAAAAAAAAAAAACCTTATAGATATTAGGATCCATTATTAGTGCAAACTTGAACTAGCAAATAAAATTGAATGGGAAGCAGTCAACACAAAATGAAAGGCTATAATCCTTGTGCTTTTGCAATGAACATCGAAAATGCAAAAAAACACATGGAGGATTGCTATTTTGGTGCTGAAATCTTAGGGAAGCAAAGAAACCCAAAACACCAAAAGCTAGCTTAAACACAGAATTGACTTTTCCTTTAGATGATTGATGGTAAAATTGACCAAATTTTGGAAAAACCAATCAAACATAGAAGTGGAAATAATTGAGCATAAACATGGCAAGATGAAGAAAACATCTTAAGGCAAAAGACATGGAAGAGTAAAGCGACCAATAAGGCAAATTCTAAGAGAAAAAGGGAGAAAGAAAGAACAAAGAGCAAAAAAGCTAAAACAAATGTTGTGAGAAAGGGAGATGTAGCAAATAAAAGACAGGGAGAGTAAAAGGACCATAAAGCTAGATTCCAAGAGAGAGGGAGAAAGAAAGAATAGAGAGTAGAACAAGAAATGAAATAGTGAGAGGGGGAAGTACTATAGCAATTGTGAGAGGGGAGTGTTTCTGCCATTAACTATTTTAGATTGTGTTACTTTGTTTATTGTATTTGTCTAAAGTGCTCTCATACTTTGA